TTCCACTCCGCTCCATCTTTCAGAGGCTGGAGCAGGTCAGCTTTAAAGCTACGCATCCATCAGTACCAACCATGTCAAGCTAGCGTGTTGGGAAGTAAGCTGAATGATGCCTCAAAGTGGCATGGCCACGACCTCTGACCTGAAGATATCTGAATGAAAATGGGTTCTCCCGTGCACTTTTGGCCGTTCTATAGGTGTCTGTGTTATTTTCGGTGAGTGCATTGTAATATTTCTGCATACTGGGGTTCCAACAAAGTATTCAAATCACATAAATTTGGATGAAAAGCTGACACACATACTTGATGCCTACCCTGCGTACGTCAGTACGTCTCCTCCTCTTTGTCCTTGTCTGACCATCTCTCTGCTAATTTCCTTCCTCTCCGCCGGCTCCTTGCTGCTGCTGTTTGTCTCAGACTTTAAGCCGATACGTCAGCTGAAATAATTAGCTGGCACCTCCGCTGTGTGTGATTGTGTTTCTGCTTATTAGTCTTTGGGTGTGTTTTTGTGTATGACTGCGTGTGAGAGACAGTGAGGGATGCAGACGGTGTTAATCAGATGTGTTGTCTCTGTCTATAAGCAGTAAACATCCTCTCATCGGTTCACCTTCTCACCCTGCGTATGTAGCTCGCCTTGTTCCGCTGTCGGCTCCATGTGAGTTTGAGGTCCTCTTCCTTCTCAGTGTTTTAGTTGTTCTGCTGGGTGACAACTGCGCTTTGAAGCCTAAACTACAGTTAACGTGTTGGTTTATTGTCAGTTTAAGAGCTGTCATCTCTGTAAGTGGATCCATTCTGGTCTCCAGTTCTGTTAGTAATGGCCACCACTTTGGTCCAGATTGAATAACTATTTGACGGATCGTAGGGGTGTGAAGATTTACCGATACGAGTCAGAAATCAGTTTTAACGTTTAGATGCGACTATATGAGTACGCGGACTCCTGGATCGATCTGAATGTACCATGAACCGGGCGATGGTCTGATCCTAAAGTTAAGAATCAGTTGACTGAAGCTTTGCTGCTAACAGCGTCTCCACTCTTGAAGGGAAAAGGTGGACTCGAGGGTCCCTTTGTAAGATGTCAGACAGCGATGAACCCAACGGTAGAACAACAGATCTTAACTCTCACCTGGTGAGACAGCACGGTGACAACCTGCGCAGGCGACGGGGAGTCTGTGGATGCTAATACAGCTAGCACAGGCAAGAACACGCAAGATAGTAAACACTCTTCAGCCACAACTGAGCTCCAACTGGGCGAGGTTGGATGGTCTTAGGGAGAAATGCCCTGATGGATTGCCATCTCTTGCAGCACCCCCAGGAGGTCACTTAATGCCAAACAACATCCCAACATTTAACAAAGCAGACATCTTCTGATGATATCTGAGAGGTACAAACGGTGAAGGAGTCCTCCAGGGTGAGCCAGGCAGCGTCACGTTAATGGACGGGTGGATGTATTTATGTATTTACCTCTATATACAATGAGTGGGTGAAGATGGTGCTGTCAGACAGACGGAGGTGAGCCCACGTCATAAAACTCAATCAGCATGTAAATGAACATGTCAACTTTCAATCACACGTTTCATCATCTCGATTCTCTCCATTTTACAGACAACATCCCATATGGAAATCATTCCATTACAGTGTGCATACATACATGTATTATTTAAGAAGCTGCTGAAAACTCACCTGTTCAATAAGCACCGAATCCTGTAATGTGTTTCTGTAGTTTTCTACTCCTATTTGTGTCTGCACTGAACAGCAGTGTAACTCTATAAATACAGTTTATTATTAGTATTATTAAACGCGCTATTTTTAAATATGAACAGGACATTGAAGAAAAGGATAGATGGATGAAAGAGGGAGGAATCAGAGAGAGGGATGCGGGGAATGCACGGAGGAATAAATGATCTCACAGGGACAGAAACAGAGGAACAGATACAGAAGGATGTATGGAGGCAGTGGAGAGAATGACGAGAGGACAGGTGGAAAGAGGGATGGAGGGATGCCTTGTGTGTTGGAAGAGAGAGATATGACGGGAAACAGCTGAAAAGAGTTTGAGAGAAGACGGACTGATAGGGGAGAGAGGGATGATGGGAGGGACTCAGGCGGAAAGATAAGTGGAGGGACGCAGAAAGGGAGCGATGCAATTGAAATGAGAAGTGCTTTTAGTCGAGAAGAGAGCGATGAAAGGACGGAGGAGAGGGCGACGGAGAGGGAGAAGTGCATGTAGCCTGAAAAAGAGCTGCTTTGCATTTTTCTCACGCTGAGCAGGCCTGACTAAACAAATTAAATCTGTTCTGAGAGCAGCAGTGTTCCTCAGAGACGCAGCATCACGTTGCACCTAAACTCTGCTGCAAAAAGATAATCGCAGAAAAGTAAACGTCTTCAAAAGTCAGCATACACTGCCACCGATACAGTGACGTCGATATTATGGTGACTGGAGAGGAGAGCTTGTGAGCTTATTAACAATATCTACAAGGTTCAGTCAGGATCCCCGGGTTCAATTCAATTCAATTCAATTCAATTTTATTTGTATAGCGCCAATTCATAACAGAAGTTATCTCAGGACACTTTTCAAATAGAGCAGGTCTAGACCGAACTCTTTAAAACATTAATTACAGAGACCCAACAGTACCACCATGAGCAAGCACTTGGCGACAAGGGCAAGGAAAAACTGCCTGTTAAAAGGCAGAAACCTAGGACAGATCCTCCGGCTCTAGGTGGGTGGTCGTCTGTCTCGACCAGTTGGGGTGAGAGAGAGAGATGTTAGCTCTATAACTAAAACTAAGCTCCTATAACACCCAATAAAACTACACAGCCTGCCACATGTGTGTTCATTCATTAAGTTCATTCATGAGAACGGTACAGAAGCTCTGAGATTTGAAGTCCTGCACTCCGAGAGCAACAAAGGAAAGTCAGCAGTGGAAGTAAAGGACCCGCTGAAGGAGGGGGAAGAAATAATGAGAGTCACCTGAGGGTCGGACTGTACTGAAATCTGAAAGTGGTTTGATTTGAAAAGCAATGATCGATGGGGGTCAAGGGGAAGTCTTCAACACAGAGGTAGAGGAAAGAATCTAAATTAATTAAGTCATAACTATAACATTAAATCTGAATAGTTCCTGACCTTTACTCTGAGCTTCTACTATTCAGACCACAAGGCTGTAAAGATGGACCGGTCTCAGGTAAAGGTCAACACACTGAAATACTGGGAACAAAACACCTAAAAAGGTAAACTGGAAAATTGGCCTCTTTGGTAGATGAGACCGGCCCCGTCTCCGAGAATTTACATTTATGTGCAACTAATTTGCAACAGAAAATACATTTTGAGAGAAACGTAACATAATAATTATAAATACACGCACCTGGCAGCTCACAAAAATGTTGATGCTGAACAACGAACTTCATTTGTTTTCTGCCAAAATACGAATAGTGACTGTACAGTGTTATTCAAATGTCAGCAGCAACTAAACATAAGCTTTTAAATAAAGATGTAAGCGAGTGAGAGTGCTTTTGTTGAGCCTGGATGCAAACCCTGGACTGTGGTGAGACAGACCTGCACACTAATTAAGAAAACAGAGAAGTTTTGTAAAAAGGGGACAAACACAAAAACTAAATAAAAAGTCTTGTTAGTTAGTAAAATGGAAAAAAGAGTAATTACCAAAGCCTGTGACCTTTTCCTTTCTTTACCTAATTCATTACTTTTCTAAATGTTTAAACAGTTCGCTCAGGTGTGTGCTGAAGGTCTTCTCCTGCCGAACGGTGGATGTCTCCACTCCCAATAAAACTTTGTATCCACCTTGAGCACAACTTTAATATCCTCATCCGAGTGACAAATTTGTGGATGTCGCTCATTATCGCCTCCGAGTCTCCTGCGCTCGCGTTCCCATCATGCTCAGACTCTTCAATTACCCATTGACATTTGAGTGTAGTCTCAGTTGGGTTTTTGGAATCCTCCCGATCGTTTCCACTGAATTTATCTCATTCCATTACATCTCGCCCATTACTTCCTCACATTTAGCTCGTATCCTGCGCCGCCCAACCCGCTACGAGGACAGGCTTCCTGCTCTGTATTCTGCGCCGCAGTTCAGGCAGTTTGAATATTTCAGCACCGTAAATAAAAGAGTGTCTCTCTCCGCTGTTATTTGCAGTCGACCTTCCTCCCAGTCACTCGGCTTCTAACTCAGAACAACTTTTTTAGAGAACGTGTACAAGTGGGAGCAGGCACGCATGCATGAATGTGTGCATATGTCGCCTCTGCTCGCCACGTGTTTTATTTTTCTCCCCCTGTTTGAATTTATTCAGGGCTCCGCTGAGCTGAACGCACAGACCGAACGGAGGGAAATCAATATCGATGTAAATGTATTCCTTTATTGCCTTGGCTGGAAACGTTGGTTTAAGCCTCATTTCTATGCACAAAAACATCTATGAAATTTATGAGGTGAGACAGACAAGCAGGCAGAGGATAATTTGTGTTCTTTAATGTTCTCCTCAGATTCTAATCATGGGAGTGCAGTGAGCTTAATTGATGATATAAGTACTGTTTACTTCCACTTTCCCAGGACAACTTAGCCTACTCAGCAGATAAAAAAAAACTAATTTACCCCCTCACCTCCTCCCTGTTTCGCCCTTTCTGCCACTGTTCCCTCTCTTTTCCCGTCCTCCCCTCTTTCATGTGAAGTATTCATTATCCTTTCTTCTGGAAATTCTGGTCTCTTCGTGTCTGCAATGTCTGGGAAAGCATAAAAGATGGATTGATGTGTCCTTTAAAGCTGCAGAAAAGTTTGTGAAAGCATAGAATATACACAAGGCGCTTCACATTTCCTGCAGCTATCTCGCATGCTGTGTCACTGTGAGGGATAATCTGCATTTCTAGAGTCGTACAGCAGCACTCAGATGCCAAACTGAGATCATTTGGGAAAAGCATTCCATTTCTTTTACCTTTGTGCAACAAGCTACAAGAACTGATCTCTCTCTCTCTCTCTCTCTCTCTCTCTCTCTCTGTGTCAGCAGGAGAGTAGCCATGGACGCTGTCTCCTCGCTGGTATGCCCTGTCCTCCTCCCCCTCCTCTTCGTCCTCCTGTCCTCCCTCCCTGCCTGCTCCTCCTCCATGCTGTGTCCGAAGAGGTGCACCTGCCAGAACCTGCTGCCGTCCTACACGGTGCTGTGTGCCAAGACGGGCCTCCTCTTCGTCCCGCCCAACATCGACCGCCAAACGGCCGAGCTCAGGCTGATGGACAACTTCATCACGACGCTGCGGCACCGCGACTTCGCCAACATGTCCAGCCTGGTCAGAGCTCAGTTTTTTGCATTCATACTTACTTTGATTCGTACAATTGTCAGTTTATGCCAAGCAGTTGGATCCGGATGTGATCCAGCGGTTGTGTTGAGACCGAGCAGAGATCTACAGGCTCTGTTTTTATCTTGTTTTAAGTCGGAACAAAACTTTACTCTGGTCTTCAAAGTCTGAGACCGTGGGCCTCCTCTCAGAGAAAGCCCGCTTCAATATCAGGGACCACGCCACAACAACGTTACATTCAAAGGTTTAGTGGGATTCAGGAGGTTTTGATGTTCAGGATATATATATTGATGTGGAGGGGGGACGTTGGAAGGAGATGTCATCTGTTAGGTTGGACATGCTGAAGGCTGGGCAGAGGGAGATTAACCCTGAATCCTCCCAAATCCTACCGTGAAGTACACTGAAGCCTTTGGTTACTATCAGGGTTTTCCAGGCCCCACAAACTGAAACATTATATGAAGGAATCAGAATGTAAACTCTTGTTATGGTCCAAACTGCAACGTAGAACTCAAAAAGAACCAAGATATAACGAGACGGGATAGCAAAAATACTTCAACATTAATCACTTTTCATAACAAAATATTTTAAATTAGCCATATTAATACTAAAGCTGACATAATATACTTAAAGTTGCAGGAGGTAACTTTTTGTCATATTTGCTGATTCTTCAACTGTAATTATGTCCTGACAGTGGAACAAAATCAGGTTATTTTTCATTAAATTTATCTACAGCAGTTTTAAGTATTCAAAGAGATATTTCTCAGATGTTCTTTTGCACAAGAAACAAATGAGTTTTTTCAGCGATGAAACAACATAACAGTATATGAACAATTCATATTCATATTTGAAATGAAACCCGGTATACCGCTTCTTCCAGTAAGTCACTCAGCACTAATTCAACTATCAGCTACACTGCCTTACAAAGCCAAACCGCAGTAACTACAGTTTTGGTCAAAACTGAACAAACTGAACATTTAAATGTCTGTTTAATCTTTTCTAAGTTCAGTCTCACTCTTAGATCTTGCAGAAAAAAACAATGTAAAAATTTCAGCAGCTACAAACTCTCTCTCTCCCTCGCTGTCTCTGAGCTTCGGCTGCAGTTACTGCGGCTTCAGTGTCTGTAACAATATCAGGACAATGTGAGAATTAAAACAAAGGGAATCTTCGTGTTCTCCACTGGGAACTCTGACTGACTCCATCTGTGGATTATTAGCTGAGCTCATTGTAGCACATAATAACAATAGTTTGGCTATTACTGTGCTAGCACTACAGGACAAGCTTTTAATGTGCTAATTAAAATGAATGTGTCATAGTTTAAACTTCACAAATTAATACTTAAAATCTTAATAACTCATCTATTTCAACATATGAAACACAGATTTAATGTAATAAATTAGATTTTCTCAGGAAGAAGTCGCTACCTATTTATCAGTTCATGCTAATGCAGAGACAGAGTGCAGAATCTGCAGTTTTGGGGTCATAAGGTCAAATAATTTATGGCTAAATGAATTTTCAGCCATGAAAATTATGAAAATGAGCTTTTCTCAGATTCAGAGTCAGCGTAGTTAATGCGGTTAGGCTTTATAGGGCAGTATATATCTCCAGAATGACTGACCCCACCCTTAATTACAAGAAAACCAAAATTAATTGTTAATAATAAATATGTTTTTGGGCTTTTATTGCCTTTAATCGATAGGGACAGCTGAAGAGGGGCCACAGGTCGGATTCGAACCCTGGGCCTCAAGGACTCAGCCCGCAGACGTAACCCCCCCTCATGATCAAATAGCAACACTTGCCCTCAGAATCATTTCTGGAACAGATGATAATTAATGGTGTGAAAGTATCTGAGGAAGATTTTTCGAGCATTCAGCGTTCAGATGAAAGAAAACTGCTCGGCTCTCAGCGCCGTCAGGAACATGTATAAGTGTGAACTTTTCAGTGAGGAAAAAGACTTGAAATTGAAGCCAGCACAGTGAGGCGAGCCTTCGTGTTTATTCCACACTGAACGCAGGAAACAGTGGGAACATCTGCTCACTCCAACACAACATACTGACTGAGGTGAAGTCTATTATATCTTACGGATTTCACCAATTAATCCCACTGTAATCATGTAACGGAGGTGGAGGGGCTTCACTGCACGCAGCGCTGAAGGAAAAACACCAACATCGTGATCTTTAATTGCCAAATAGAGACGCTCATCGCAGCTGGAGACTTCCTTAGTGTTTGAAAAATAAGTTTCCTCTCCAGTGCGATCACAACAGCGCAGATGATGTTTGCTCACACACAAGGGAACGTGGGAAATGAGGTTTTAATCATTCGGCGGTGAGCGTGACAGAACGCCACAGATGTCTCCGGTGATCGCGGCGCTTCTCCAAAAACAGGTTTACAAATCTGTGGGTGTTGATTGACCTTTTCCTGGGTGTTAATAGAATATTTCTGCATCTTCACACCTACTGAATGGTATTTCATGCACAGTAGTGCGTTTTAATCCCGTGTCTCACTGTGCTCTAGTATTAATTACTTATATTATTATTAATGTAGGGCAGTTTAAAGGCCATACTGTAACCTAACTGCTGGTTTAATCCCCACAGACCAGACCGTCCAACCTGCTAAACCGTTCTAAAGTGAAACATCAAGTCTTTATTATCTCCAGGGTGGTGGCTCATCTGCTTACTCTGACCTCTGACCTCCCTGAACAAGAGTGTCACTCAAACACACAGTATAGAGTTTGACAAAAGTGAAACCTCACTAAATTATTGCTGGTATAAAAAATTTAATCATCTTATAGGAGTTTAAAAAGAATAGAAAGTGGGTAATTTAACTTTTTGGGAGTCAGAGATACACAATGACAAAGCTGATCCAGTATTTCTCTGCATGTCCAGATCCACCTGACCCTGAGCAGGAACACCATCAGTCAGATCCGGCCGTACACCTTCGCCGACCTCCAGGATCTCCACGCTCTCCACCTGGACGCCAACCGCCTCACCACGCTGGATGACTCCCACTTCCAAGGCCTGGTGAACCTGAGGCACCTCATCCTGGCCAACAACCAGCTGCACAGCATATCGGAAGGAGCCTTCCAGGTACGGGTACTACACCAGAACCCTTTCCACTAACACTATCACTCTTACTTTCACGTCCAGGTGGCAGGAACTGGTGAAGTCTGTGAAGTCAGAGGAGTAGAGAAGGAACAGAAAGCCTGTCTCTATGGAATATTGGGCCATGATTTCTGGACTGTCACCGATGCACGAGTGTTTTCTTATTTTTCCTCTTCTCTTCTAACTCTTTTACGAGTGGTCGAGAACAATCTTACCAAGAGAAGAGCCGAAACATCAAGTTTTCAAAGTCCACAAACAACGCAAAGAAACATAACAAAGGCATGAATATCAAATAAACAGATTAGATTATATGTTTTAGAGTAACTCTAGTGATTGGATTATTACATTTGTGGGCTAAATAAATACTATTGCAATATTGATCCCTATTAAAACTATAAAACCCCTTTGATGATATTGCGTGTTCAGGTTCGTATCCCTCGTATCAATATATCATTATCTTATAGATATCTTATATTTTTACTTATACTAAATTCTGTGCTGCAAGCTTGCATATAAATACTTGTTTTTGTGAAGGCCGTGTGACCACCTGAGAAGTTTTGACGACCCCTAGTTGGGGTCCCGACACCCAGGTGTTTTGGCCTGAAAGCAAATGTGACAAATGTTAAACTCAGTGTAAATATTTCATTTGTAAGATCACTTCGATCATCTTAAACTGAGATACTTAATGTCTGTGAAAGCATCAAAAACTGCGTGAACTGTCACCATAAACCCCAAATATTTAAGTTTGTCTTATTTTTACTTTGTTCATTTGATTGTTATATTAGAATTAAATATGGAGAAATTGGAGCACAATCTAGTTAGTTAAATAAAGCTTGATAGACAAAATTACCCAATTACCCTCAGGCCTTCATCAGTATTTTTAAATTATAATTTCAATTTAAAACTAATCTCGGTGCTGCTATAAATTGAGTTTTAGTTTGGCAATATGCCACATAAAATTAGTATTTAATTAAGATTTCATATATAAACCTAATGTGTGTGTAGTGTAGTGTGAGCCAGACTATTTGAAATCCAACAAATTTGGATCGGCGCTGCCAACAAACCTCATGACTCATCGCCCAAGCATCCAGACTGACTGCCATTTGCCAAGATTATCAGTTAGAAAAAGTTATTGCAAAGTCATTTAAAGCTCTTCAGACTAGTTGTGGTGCTGAGGGTCAAGTGCTGAGTGAAAATGATGCCACGTTTCTGGCTCCGACTCTGAAGTCCGGCAGAATCAGCCAGACCCCGTCTGGCTCCTCTGCTCAGCTGGACACCTTTTTAATAACCCGGCCCTAAAATAAACAGTTTTCCCCTTTTCATTAAATGATGCTGTCCTTTCTCTGCTCATTAAAAGTCCAAAGTGTCCCCCTCAGGGCCGGCTCTCAGACCTCTGCAGGACTTTCACATAGAGAAAGCAGAGAGACGTGAACTCTGAACTCACTAATGGACCGGACCTTCTGAACCCTCAGACTTAACATCACTCTTCATCTCACCCACCATTTCAGGATCTCCCTCCCCGTCCATTCACCCTCTTTCTCCTCTGCCTTTATGCCTCCAGCTCTCCCTCTCATTCAGCCAAGGTTTGCACAGATTTTACTGCCATTATTTTATTTAAGAACAATTGTTATTTCTCCAACTAGATTGAACAAAAATCAGGGGTTCACATTATGCACCTTTAAACATATGCTTACTTTAACTGTTTAAAAGAAGTTAAAACTTACCAGCGAGTCAAGTTCTTTATGTAATTTGCTCCAGTTTCTCTTTTTTTCCACTGTCCCACTGTACATCATATAAGTCATAAAGCCTCAGGACAAAAACTTTGTTGCTAGATTCACATCCACATCTCTAAAGTTTCATTTCAGTTGCCTAAACTTAATGAGACCCTTATGGTACGTCTCCACAGGATCACCTATTTTAATGCTTCCCATTTATTAGTCTGTGTATTCAACCACGCAATGCATTCCGGTAAAGTCGTGGTGTGATTCGAGGGATGCTCCTTATTTTTATGGAGGTCTAAGCTACTTTATAAGAATCAGGGAAGTCGCCACCTCTAAAAACTCTTGAAAAACTTAAACTAACTGTAGCAGCATGGCTTATTTCTGGCCTCAAATGTTTTCAGAAATGTATTTTTGTAATGTAAGAAAATAGGTTTCAAACAAACCGCCATGTTGGTCCAGTTTGAAATCTAGGAGCAGAAAGCTTTTGTCCAATCAGGTGCAGTCAGGCGTGTTTACACGGATTCTGGAGGGTGTGGCCTTTTGTTGGTCACTGTCACTACTAGCATCCAGTGCTGGGAAATGGCGCGACCCCTCACATTCAAAAAACGCCCCTGTGGACATTTACCTCTAGCCTTAAGCCATAGGAGTGGCAGATCAGAAAACACTTGTGAGTCGTTTTTAAAAGCACTGACAAACAACCTGCTTTGTTGTTTGGGTATGAAGAGTGTTGGCAGGATAAACCCAGTCTCCAGGGTCACATCCAGAGGCTTCGTACACTCGTCCATCCACCCTGAAACTGAGCTCAAACATGAGTAATTTCACTAGTTTGGACAAAAAAAACAGCACAGTCAGACCCTCGAGTAGATGGTCATGAATTTCAGTCAATTTAAGACAGATTTTCTGCTCACAGAGCGCTTCAAACGCCTCCTCACAGCTCTTAAAGTTTCTTTTGTCATTAAGAAATGAGATTCCTTTTGTTCAGAAAGCAATAACGCACACATTATTGTAATGAGAACCGAGGCATTGTGACATTCAAACAGTGTCCTGATTGTGTGAATTATGAGAGCAATTACAGCAACGACAACAACACTTTGGCTGATCAACAGGGTGTTATCGCTCTCCTTCAAACCCCCCTTTCTCTCTCTGTCTATTTCCATCTTTGTATTTCTGCTCATTGTAATGTGTGCTGACTCGTGGCATTTCGACAGTGTACTTATTATGAGAATTGTATGGAGGCAATTAGAGAAAACAACATGCTTTGAGTGCACAGCATTGACCAGGGTAATTGATCCTTATTTCTTCCTTTCTCTGTTATTCCTCAACCTCCTTACTTGCCCTATATTTCTCTTTCTTTCTTCCTCTCTCTATTTCCCTTTACTAGTGTTATCTCTTTCCATCCAACCATGAATTTTCTAATTAATCTCCTTACTAGAGTCGGTGTTATTTTAGGTGTTATGGTTAACAGACCTAAGGCATCCACTGGTACCAACCATGCCATGCTAGCTTGTCGGAAGGGGGCTAAAGAATGCTCCAAATTTTGGCGATGGAAAAGTTATCCCTTGACTTCTGACCTCAAGATATCTGAATGAAAATGGGTTCCCACGAGTCTCCCCTTTACAGACATGCCCACTTTATGCTAATCCCTTGCAGTTTTGGGCAAAAACTATGAAGTTTTTTGCATGCAGTACTCAAATATTTCCGCACACTGGGGTCCATAAACAGTATTGGAATTGCATAACTTGGGTATGACTGGAAAGCTGAAAGTCTTGGGATTCAATGAGCCCAATTGTATTCAAGTGTGATGATGTTCATCCCCATAGTAGCCATTTTATTGTAGTGATACCGAATGCTACAACCACAATAACAACAGCAACTGTCTAAGCTCAGGGTATCCTGGACGAGCCCCCAAATATGTTACTCACCTTCGGCATTTTTTGGGAGGTGTTTTTTCTTTGTTCGTAAAAGTTTGACTCTTTGATTATGCTCACAGTCTCTGTCCCCGCCTTGCAGGACTTCCTGGAGACTCTGGAGGATTTGGATTTGAGCTACAACAACTTGGTGGACATTCCCTGGGAGACCATCGCTCTGTTGGTCAGCGTCAACACCCTCAGCCTCGACCACAACCTCATAGAGAGTGTCCCCGAGGGAATATTCTCCAACCTGCACAAACTGGCCAGGTCAGGATTACATCATAACACTTCAGTGGACTGTGTGGGTTTAATAGAAAGAGGGATTAACTTTTCACTGGAAATCCAAAGAGAAGTGTTGAGCATCTCCCTGCTTCCTTTCGCCTTCAAATTAAACTTCATGCAGCCCCCCCATAACTTCACGTTCCAATGCACTGCCTGTAAATACTAGTAAACATCCTGCAGAGGGGTGTGGTATAACATACAGCTCCAGCCGTGTGTGTAGCTTGATGGATGTTTTTAGCCTCCTCTAACTCAGTTTTAGTTTCACAGCACATGCACTGTATGATGCAGTCTCAGCCACTTTAAGGTTAGGACAGGCAGTTGTTCCATCAAGCTCTCAGTACACTACCTGCTCTGCACCAAGCAGCAGAGAGAGACACTCAGGGACCAACTGGTAAAGAAAATGGGACATTTAGCAGCTTATCTTTTTGTTTAAAGACCAAAACAAAGTTAAAACCAGGCTGAGCATTGGTTCTCTGTATAACAGAAGTGTTAGTCAGTGTGTTATGATGTTTTTATGCACCTGGTGGCCAAAAAATTATCAATGCAGCTTTAAAATTGATGTCAAATATGGAAATCATCCAAATATGAGTAACATATTTACGTAAGATATTATTAGGTGATGGGAACTTCTCCTGGTTTTTCACAGAAGATTGGGTATTGTGTGTCTTTATATGTGAATTCCACATTTTCACGTGAACAAAATGGACAAAATGTGAAAATAAATTAATGTCACATGTGAATAGCTTTTTCAAATGTTAAATAATGTCTCACATATGACTTTTTCTGCAAGTACTCACAGTTACATAATGAATCGGGGTAATTGTTACTGGAAGAATATGTAATAAACTGCACATGAACTCTAAATCTTCCAGAGACACAAATATAAATATATATCTGAATGGATCCAGAACAAAAGACTCATCAAAGTGCTTCAGTGCTTCTGTCTAATGGGACTACATCTCTTTAAGGAGAGTTTTTATTTCGACTGAAGCATAAAAATTAAAATAAAACATTTCGAATAATGTTGTGTTCAACAGTGTCAGTCACCCTGATGAGCTGCTTTTTCATTTAGTTGTTTTTCAAACCATTTTCGACATCAAACCAAAGCTTTAGGCTGGATACAACTGAAATCACAGAGCAAGTCCCTCCATGCCAGACCTCACTTTAATGGAAGTTGAGCTTTTGAGGCTCACTTCACTTTGCCTGCAACAGCTGGGAGGTGGCCAGTACAACCAGGTCTGCACTGCAGCTCCACTAGAGGAACTGGGGGCTCAGCATCTTGCCTGAGGGCACGTCGATAGTAGATGATGGTAAATGTTACAGCCCTTACTGGCATCCGGACAGAGTGGGGATTTGAGACGGTGACCTCGGACTGCTGCTCTGCTGCTCTGTTCAAAGATCTGAGCGTGTTTACACATATTCACACACAAAAAACAAATATAGACAAATCTGAAGTTATTATTATTGACTCTTCAAACACTCTGCACGCTCTCCTCGCTCCCTTCAAGCTGCAGGAAATGGAAAATAAACCAAGTTACACTGATTGAACAGGAATGTATTTATATATATTCTTCTAAAATTAAACCGTTTTTCAGTTGCTCTTATGCTTTTATTAGACATGCGATTCACTATTCACTTGTCTAAGTAAGCATGAATCTCAACAGACTTGCATTAGTTCAGAGCAGCAGAGCCAGACTCATCACCAACTCGAGAGAGCACAGAAGTCTAAATTTAGCTTTCTTGCACTGCTCCAAATATATTTTAGGACTAATTGCATGATTTTCTAACTTTTATTCAAGGTCCCTGCTCCCTGTGAGTCACTGCCTGAGATCCGTATAACAGGGCACTCATATCTAACTAAGAGTGACCCTGTCATTGTCGTAATGGTCCCAAGACTTTGACCTCTTTGAGGAAATCCATCTCTTCTCTAACTTTTAAAGGGATAGTTAAACTTTTGTGAAGTAGGGTTGTATGAGATCCATAGTCAGTATATTATCTACAGTAGATAACGGTCTTCACATCTCTAGTTTGGAAAACAAAACAGGAGTACCAGCACATGTTTAAGCCAGTCTAAGACAGTCTTTTCCAACAACAAACTGAAGCATTTATATATCGATCTATGCACTCTTGTAAAGAGACTCTTGTGGCTGATCCACCGTTGCCTCTATCAAAGGGGGGGAACATTAGTTGCTTCAGATTGAGGGAACAGTTCCACAAGGTAAAATAAAATTACGTCAAAGCGATATGAACACTACAGTTTCCTGTTGGAAAGACAATGGAGACCTTTCCTTTAACCTTTAACTCTAAAACAAATACAATAAATGTTTTAACCAATTTCTTTAAAATCCCGGACGAGCCCCCACAATTGTTACGACATCAAATGGTTTAATCCAAGGAGGAGTAACAATAAAGAATAAAACCACGATAAAAGAAACATATGTACAAACAAAAAGGATTTTCATTAACAATAGAAATAAAAATACTAACAAACTAACAAGTCCCATCTAAAACCTAGAAAATAATTAACTATAAAGACAAAGCTGTTAATTAAATAGGTAAGACGTTAGCCTCCCTCCACAGGGGGAGTAAAACAACACAGCTCTAAGCTGCCGTCTGCCACACTGGCTCCTGTCTGCTCGCTGTTCTCGTTTATAAGGCCGGCTGCTCTAATGAACAACTGACTGCCGGTGTGCCTGACCATTCGCTCTACAGCACGTAGGGGAGGGTGGTTACCTGGAACAGGGCAGAGGCAAAGCAAAGCACACATTTATCACTCATCTATCTCTATACTCGCAACAGGCTGACGGCAAGGTTAAGTGGTAAAAACACTCTATAGCATACACTTAAACGGATATGTTTCGTCCTGGTACTCTTGTCTGCTTCCCCAAATTGGGGTTACGCCGGCCACAGTGCAGGTAATACACTGACAAGTAAGTGTATTAGTAGTACCACACTTCAATAAACCTGAACTAACCCTTTAAGTCTTAAGATTCCTCGTTTTTACTGGCCTACTTTAAAATCAAGATGACAACACCTTATTGAAAAGTCTCATCTGTATGATTGTGTTCAGTCTCTTTTTGTATTATTTTGGCACAAAATTATCTATTACTTCTTAAGCGTACTCTAATATCTCTTGTATTTTGATGATGATTGATTAATTTTGTTGATTGAACACGTTCTAATGAACGTATACAATAACACTATATCAGATTTGTCAGGGACAGAGTGTTATTGCCCCTGATAATGAGGTTGTTCCACGTTCTGGATGTTTCCACAGTCCACCAGCAGTGCCTGAAATGGGCCAGTGGTCACCAGTACTGAGTACCAGCACACATGAGTACCCTTACTTCTCATTGGTTTACTGCCATCTCTGGGGAACATTGCTGTACCCACCACCACATCAGGACTTTTGAGTTGTGAAATAAAAATAAATACTTTAATGCCCCCCAAACCCTCTTGCAAGTTCAGCTTTTGGATCTCTATTAAATCCTGTGTACAACAATGCTGGTGAGGTTCTCCTAAATGTCGGTGTAACTGTATCTCTCTGTAAAGCTAGCTTAACATTAAAAACACCACACTGACAATGACCTTGTGCTGAATGAGGGCCCTAGCACCTGTTTTGGTCCAATTCAGGCACTGTCCATCACCTTCAGGCATGGTGCAGGTATGGCATTGTTCAAGGTGCAAACAACAGAGATTCTATTAAGAAATGATATCCAGGAGCCAATCTTTAACCTGTGACACCTTCCTAATTAAAGGAGGTGTCAACCCCTGTTTGTTCCTTTATTTTTTAATTGTTTTGTGTTGTATCCTTTCTGACTTTACTGGCTTCTGCCCTGTAAAGCACTTTTACTTTGGCCTTTTGAAAAGTTTTACAAATAAAGATTTTCCTCATTATATGAGAACACATTGAATACTATGCCGGCATAAAACACCATTTGAACCCCATTAACAGCAATCCATTTCAATTTACGTCCCAACAAACAACAGTAATTGATGTGTATGAAGGTAAACCAACCAGGTTCGGATAAACAGTCATGCTATATGAAAAAGTCTGTAATGGAGTTATTTTTGCCTCGGAGACACAAAACTGATGGACAAGTTGGTGTAACTGTGACTCTGTCCGTGTGCACAGGTTAGTGTTCACATACACACACACACACACACACACACACACACACACACCGTACACCAGCCCAAATGAATACACTATCAGGCTGCTGCCCATGAAATAACATAATTGAAATTTGTAAAGTGCAGCAAGCTTGCTGCTCTCAACAGCTATTAACTTCTTGTTAAGTCATCGTTGTTGTTGAATATTTCTGGAGGGACTTTGGGTGGTGGTGGGGGTTTGACTTTCTTGCGTTTGTTGCTGACAGCAGTGAATGCTTGAATCTCCTACATTATTACCAGTCATCAGGTCCAGTGTTTTGGTGAGCAAATTACTGTTCAATTCCCAGAGAAGCTGCAGTGGCAGAATGACAAAAAGAGGCATACACCCTGGAATATTTGTCCACTCTTGGATCTCATTTTATGTTATTCTGTGCTCGTATATAAGAGCCCTACATGGCCAGACTGCTCAGTATATCATGGACCTTCTACATCCACCACACCACGAGACTAAGACTCAGGGTGATCGTGCTTTCAGGTCAGCAGCCCCTAAACTCCCTAAACCTGGGGTCCTTCTTCTAAAAAAGTAGCTAAGACATCAGTTTAAACAGACATATAGGTAGCATGTGGGTTTTAATGTTTTATCCTATGTCCTGTGTTTGTTCCCCTTGTATATTTTATCTTTATTTTTGTTTGATTGATTTGATTTAATTGGATTTAAATTTTTGATTATATTTATGACTGTGAAGCACTTTATAACTGGTGTCTATATAAATAAACCTTCTTTTACAGAACAAACACATGAATTTCAACATGTGGACATCATGGCACCACAATTATATAGGTTTCACATGGGAGTTTACATGGGCTTCACACATTACACCCAAAAAACGAGACTGACCTTAAAATCTGACATTTAAAGTTGCATTAATTTGCCACTTGGCCACTAGGGGGCAAAAATAACTCATATCCCTTACATGGTATTACATATAAGACTGTTATCACTAATGTGTTAGCAACCAATTGCCTATTAACACATCCAATAGACAGACAGCAGTAGTTGTGTACACATAAGTCCAATATTCACTCTCATTTTAGCTCCATTTTTGGTCTCCACCAGCTCCTGAGAAAATATTTCACTCTTTAGCTGCTCAGCTTGTGTTTAACGTTTTGTGTCTGTCTTTCTGTTTGGTGCTGGGCAGGTATAGTGGGTTTATCTTCTTAAAACAGCCGCTGGCTGTTCCTCAAAACAAGCCCAGTAAGAACGCAGAGGCTAAACCGTAAATGTGCCGTAAAACCAAAAATAGAAGCTGAAAAAGGACAAAAAGGCACTCTGTAAAGCTGCAGAGTTAAACCACAAACCAAGCTCATGCTACATTATCAATATCTTCATGGTTTAAGGTGATTTTTTCACTACCACATCCTGGAACCACTGAGCTGAGGATCAAATACCAATCAAACTTGTTCTGCTGTGACTTTCTGCCCTCTCTGCCCTCAATGATGGTTATTTTATTATGTAGTTAATGGTAAATAGTTAACTCCATTTTCAGCAAAAAACTGATTAAAAAGAGCCACCACTGAACATTAGGAGGTTATTTCTAAGATGTTCTAAGAAGAAAATGATGATTGTGTTTGGTAATGTGCTGAAATAATCAGGCTGTCAGTAATCTGTTTCACCTAAACCAGGTTTCTTTTTGACACAGTGTGTCCTTCCAGGGATGATTTAAACCCAAGTAGGATTACCTCTCTGTGCATACCTCCCTTACCTCCTTTTAGCTGGGAAGAAAAAGGCTAATTGAAAGTAAAGAAATGATTGAATTGATCTACTTTTATGTGCCTTGAATTTCACCATCAATATCTCGGCTGCAGCCAGAAAGATAGATTTTCTTCTCCAACAGGAACTTTTCATTTAAAAAAGTGAAAGTGATGGAAACAGTTTTCAGATTTATATACCCTCAGTCGACGTTTATGATACTTTCAGCTCCAATCTAATAAAGAAAGATGGGGTAAAGGGGAGAGAACAGGGGTCTGGATAACCATTTACAGCTCCCCCTCCTCACTTTCTCTCTAAATGCTTCCCTTTCTCCCCCCTCACCCTTCCCTCCCTATAGCTCACCTTTAGACGTGGCTGCCCACCTCAGATTCCTACTAATCAATCAAGCTGTTTCAAAGCTTTCTCTGCCAAGAATAAATCCATTGATTTTGTTTTAATGAGAACGAAAATGTTTCTTTTTCGCCGAAAACTGTCAAATTGAGTTTATCACCATTAGCAGTCGACTATCTGCACAACTGTAGAATGTAAAGTACTTTTATGCTTCAAAATCAGCAGAAAATATACGAAGGATGTGACAGTGTCCGTCTGAACTGTGCGTGCTAGCAAGCTAACTTTAAAAATGTGTTTTTATTGTTTAAACAATTCAACAATTGATCTTGAATCTTTCTGGGACTCAGATGTGCTATGTGCTAGGTAATCGAATCTATAATGCTAATCTATGTTTTGTACATTTTGAAGATGGTTAAAAGATAAAAGCAACATAAATGTCACATCTTAAGTAGCTAATGTTAGCAAAACTAACTAGCTAGTTTGCTAATATCTGGGGCATCCTTGTGGTTATCTGAATATTTAGCCTATGTGTCTCTTTTATCTTTTAAACATCATCAAAAATGTGGTTGTCTTTTCAACATAGATTAGCCTAGCATATAGCGTATCTAAGTACAGGAAAGGGGGAAGTTGATAGCGTTTGTGACCAAGGCTTGCTCAATTTTGATTGGAGCAGAGAGAGAAAAGGGGCGGGACTTGAAGGCGATTAAACCAACCGATCTCTTCTCTCTTCTGTCCACTGCATCAAAATGAAAGCTACAGACTGATCCCTCTCCCTGTGTCTGTCTCCATCACCAGATTGGACATGACATCCAACAAGCTGAAGAAGATTCCTCCAGACCCGCTGTTCCTGCGGATCCCGGTGTACGCTAAGATGAAGGGTTCTCCTCTCACGGCGCTGGTGTTGAGTTTTGGCGGGAACCCTCTGCACTGTAACTGTGAGCTGGTCTGGCTTCGCCGACTCACCAGAGAGGACGACCTGGAGACCTGTGCTTCACCGAAAGACCTGGCTGGCAAATACTTCTGGACCATTAGAGAGGTTTGTTGAAGTTACTGCAAAAGTCTCATTTCAAAACCCACGAAATGCAACAAAGTACTGTCCAAAAAAGCATTGTGAACTACTAAAGAAGTTACAGTGTTTATTCTGTAGAGCAGAGTTAATGTTAGCTACAGTATAAGAATACAGTAATGTGTAACAAAGTGTCGGGATGTAAGAAAAACAATGAAAGGATTCATTATTTTCTATATCGGAACACCTTGGAGTGCATTATCACACTTTCAGCAAGTATTTTCTGTTAAATGGTTCAACTAAAGCTTATATTAAGTAACAAATACAATTTATGACCTGCCATGCTTAAAGGTGTCACTAAAAATATTTCTGTGATATTTAGAGATAAAGATTCATGTTTACAGTTATTTAAGGCCCCATACGTGTTACGTGTCTCACTTTTTAGCTGGATAATTTGGGTCTACACCAGTTTTGGAAAGGTCATCTAAAGTTTTATAATGACATCTAGTGGCTTCTGGTTGATCTTGGTACCTTTGTTGAAATAATAACACAAATAATGTGTAACAAGGTGTCCGGATGTAAGAAAAACAATGGAACAAGGGCAAAGGATCCATTATTTTCTATATTGGAACACCTTGGAGTGCATTATCACACTTTCAGCAAATATTTTCTGTTTAAAGATTAAACAAAGTTAAAATTTTGGACCTGCACACTGCTTAAATGTGTCACTAAAAGTATGTCTGTGATATTTAGAGATGATGATTTATGATTACAATAACTTTCGGTCCCATACATTTAGCTGGACAGTTTTGGCCTAAACCAGTTTTAAAGAGGTCATCTAAAGTTTTATAATGACATATAGTGGCTTCTGGTTGATCTTGTTACCTTTGTGGGAATAATAACACAAATATTGTACTTCTTGATAATAGGAGCCCCAAGTCACCGTTAGCTACAAGTACAAATATACACAAAAAAATAATTATGTAAACCTATTGGTCATAGAAATTGCATTCAGTTTGGTGATAATCCACTAAACCCGGTGGCGAGATGTGTTTTGTTCCACTAACTGTAGCCCTCAGTGGATGCATTTTCTTTCTCAAGGACACTTTAACGGGGCAGATGGTTGGTGTCACAGAGGAGTGAACCTTCTGGTGAAAGTGTGGAGTCATGGAGTCTGATATGCAAAAATGCATCAGAACCGTGACATTTCATTATGTATGTCTGCCTTATATCGTATTGCTGAGTTAGAAGAAACAGAGAGGGGATTGGAAACGCTCCAGTTTATGTCGCAGCATGTGGTTGTAGATCATGTATTGGGTAAAATTAAGCCATAAAGAGGCAAAAATAAAACACGTGGTGCCGTGTTTGGTCTTTACCCATATGGACAATGCACCTTGATTTATTTATTGGTCTATTTAACAGAGACAGTGCACATTAATAAACATTACAGCAAATAAGGCAGTAAAGCAATTTTTCATCAGAAGTCCCTGGGGACCTGTTACAAAGGCAACCTAGAATGGTCCATAAAAAACACTTTAAATAAAATATAAGCATGCAGAGCAATGAAAGACATTAACCCTAACAGCCCCAGTGTTTTGCCAGCGTGAGGGTTTGCACACGAACTGTTTCACTGCCAGTCCACATATCAATAGCCCCAGAATTTATGAGCTGTCATGCTTGCTGTGACCCACTTCACATGGTCATTTAAGCGACATGTGCACATCAAAGTTAGGATGTTTCTCGTTCTTCCTCCTTAATTCTCTGTGTAATTTATTGATTGAGTTTTCACTCTTTCCCACTAAGAAGTCACAGTGTTAGTGGCATGGTTTGACTTAAAGTACAGGTGAAATTAAAAATTGTATTTTTATGTCAAAATCCAATCATTGTGTCTTCCTGTAAAACAAAATGTGACACGTGCTTACGTCAGCATGAACTAACTGATTTCAACCAGCAATATCATGATTTATACATTTGTTCATGTAATGGGGAAGATTAGCAAAAACAATATTAACATTTAAAGTATTTTGTTATAATGATGACATTATTAACTAAAAATTCAATAGTATTTTTCTTAAGATTACTCATAACTGGATATATTTGATAGAGAAGACATCTATGTGTGTGGATTTTAAGTTTTGGATCGTTTCACAAACACAAAATAGGTGCTCTGTTTATGTCTTGCTTTGGTAAAGAATGGTCCAGTGTACTTCCTAAGAAAAAACAAAAAGCCTGTTTGAATATAGTTCATGTTTACCTAACAGGGAAACAATAGCAAGGCATGAATTACATTTCAACTAAATTTACCCACAGTGTCTACTAATTATAGAAACAGCCCCACTGCTACACTTTTACTTTGTGTAGGAGTAACGTTTTAATATTGTTGATATGATCATGACCCGTTACTGCCACATTATAAAAGCTAATATCCACAAAAAGCATTCTAGAGCAGCACAAAGCAAAACCCACTGCAGATGTGCTGTTGCTGAGTACAGCAGTGAGAAGGTGCGGGACTAAAGGTCGAGGAGCCGCTGAGAGAGCTGTTCATCTTAACAACTGCTGGGGAAATACTTCCTTACGACCGCAGAGCTATGCTGATACTTGGAGGGATAACGGCTGAATTAAGTGGTGTGGTTCAAGATGTTACCATAAAGAAGGTGATATAGAGGGTTTTGCCTCACCTGGAGGGTCCGACCCCTCCGGACGGTTTGAGAGCTACAATGATAAGTGGAGGTGCACCTTGAGATAAAGATAGGGATTAATTGGTATCATCTTAGAGAGGATGATGTGCAGACCTTTGCCTTACCTCGGGGTAATAGTTATGGACCTCCCTCGGAGAGGTGCTGTAGGATCTCTATAAGAGGATTAGCCTTGTAAAGAGGTCGATCCAGAGACCCCTGTGTCACCTAAGTGTCTGGGCATATTAATACTCAGTGAGTTAATAGCCTCTTTCCCAGTGCAAGGACAAGTGAGCCTCCACTTCATCCATCAGAGGTCAGACATTAGCCATCAACCGCCAAGGGAATTCCTGCTGGGGAATCGATGAAAGCTGCTCGGCCGCTCATGGCATCTGCGCTGGCCTCTTGTCTGAAGCTCAGAAATCCAAGATGTTAAACTCTCATGAAATGGGAAAATAAGTTGACGCTGGATTGAATTTGAGGGTTATCTGGACAAACCAGATATTTATTAAGACCAAATCAGTATTCATGCTCTTTTCCCTCCAATGCCCAACTTCACATTCTCGCACTTTCCCACTTCCACACACTCACACCAGGGAGCAGCAAGTTCAATCACAGGCTTTTACTCTGAGCTTCACAGGAGCAATTGAGGGTTAGAATGTAATACAAGTCTGAAAGGCACTAGTAGTGCTTTATTTGAAGCTACATCCCTGCGGTCATCAGGTCAGCAATCATCTCTGCTGGTAACAAGACCCAAGAAGGGCCCAGAAAAAGGTTTGGTGCGGCACTGAGTGGTAGGAATGATGGGTAAGCCCTGGTAAGCCTTGGCTGGCCCTGCTTGGCCTAGCAGTAATACTTCACCAGGGTTTTGGCTGGCTTTATACTGGCTTAGATGCCAGTGGGTGGGTTTTAAATATTGCAAGGGCTGAAAAACTCAAGGATCACTTAATCTTCATGTGCAAACAATTGAACTCCCTCTGTAAGTCTGCTGTTAGAGGAACACACCACTGGAAGACAGTCACAGCCCATATGCAGAGAAAATGTACTGATTTGCATGAAATGATAAAGAGCACATTTGGGTTTTTGTCTCTTTTGAAGTGACAAGCTTTCTCCAAACCTCTTAAACATTTTATCTCACTTCTACAATCTGTTATTATGCTGGTGGTTTCTTGTAAACCTGAAACTACAGTTTAAGTCTCAGCAATTCTTTAAATAATCAACAGCTCTCCTTTTAAAGGTATTGCAATTGTACTGCATAATACAGTTTGTAGAGTGAACTCCCAATGACAATATATTCCACAAGGTTTTATATCAGTTAAAGCAGTGGTTCCCACTAGGGGTCGCCAAAGCGTTATGGGCGTTGGCAAGACCTTTATGAATTTAGAGGGGGTAAAACTTAAAAAAGTATACACAGTAGGTTTAAATATACTTTAAGGTTTAAAATGTTATCTAAAAAATAAACTTGGAAGATAAATAAACAGTCTCGTCCTGTATTAGAAGAGTACGCAGTTAAGACCACAGAGCTAACAGAATAATGGTGTCAGGGAGAGGAAAATACAGCCAGCTTGTCAAAAAAGAAGCCTATTAAGTGTGTATGATTGTTAAATAAATAAATACACAATATAGACAGAGAATTGCCTGAAAAAGTTCCTAAAAATTCATATCTGATGCAAAATAAGCAGGAAATAATCTGCTCAAAATTCATCCAAATTGCCCTTTTTACACAAACTTCTTGCAGTTATTTCGATCACTATTTGTGTTCATTGTACAATTGTTCTGTATGTGTTGAATATAATATGAAATATCCATAAGACATGTCATCAAGCTATCAGTTTACCTTAAGGAAAAAGGTTGGGAACCGCTGAGTTAAAGTATGGCGAATTATGTCCCCTAACAGGAGGAGTTTGTGTGCGAGCCACCGATGATAACTCGCCATACCTCCAAGATGTTTGTGATGGAGGGTCAGGAGGTCAGCCTGCGCTGTAAGTCCGTCGGAGATCCTGAGCCCTCAACGCACTGGGTCAGCCCCGATGGAAAGCTGATCGGCAACACGTCCAGAACCATCTGCTACGAGAACGGTTCGCTGGACATCCTCAAGGCCTCGGTCAAGGTAGAGATGTGGTTTTATTAAATTATACAGATTTAAATACCAATTAAATTTATTTTGCAGCTCTCAATGATCTAAATTCAATCAATTAATTTATAAAGAGCATTTGAAAAAGGCTTTTTTAGTGATTATAGAGCATATATGTAGCTTATTATGGCATTATTTCACAATACAACATGCATAAAAAGAATATTTTGAATACATTTAACATTTCCCTACCACATACTGTAAACTGAAGTAACAGCTACAACATTGAAGTGCAACATCAGGAACTTAAAAAAAGCGTTACTCACTTACAAAACTAAGTTAATGTCTTTTTTAACTTACAAAATTGAGTTTGGGTTATTCAAAATAAGTTAAATGAATGGTTTTACAGTGTACATTATTAGTTCTACACAAATTACTTCATCATACTGTAGGATATAAAAATAGACTTCTGCAGCAAACCTTTTTTGGGAGCTTATTTTATAAAACACTGAAATGCTCCATCATGAACTGAGCCAGTAAAAGATTCTAGCCATTATAATTGGTTTCATGGGGAGCGACTCACATAAAGATAAAGATAAATGTTCTCTCTCCTTTTTCGATTATTTCCAGGATTCTGGAAAGTTCACGTGCATAGCATCTAATGCAGCTGGGGAGGCCACCGCGCCCGTTGAGTTAGTAGTCAACGCTTCGCCACACTTTGACCCTAAACTGGACCCTGACCCGGGACCTTCGGACATCCCTACATCTATCAAGTCCAACGTCAGCGGAGGTCAGGCCCGGTCCGACCAGCAGAGGGTCAGTGTGTCGGATCTAACGTCCAGCTCGGCTACCATCAGATGGCCCCCGCAGAACCACATACCGGGAGTCCGCATGTACCAGATCCAGTACAACAGCTCTACAGACGATATACTCATATACAGGTAAGAGAAAGTGTGTGTGTGTGTGTGTGTGTGTGTGTGTGTGCGTTACCTAGTGGGGACCTGGACACTGACCTTGTCGAGACCGGTAGTCCTCATGGGAACCAACGGTCGGTGCAGCGAACTGTCATTTCTAATTGTGTTAATTGAGGTGAGGTTAAGGGTTAGGCAAAGACAATGAATGAAATCAGTGGAGTGTCCTAACAAGGATGGCTGCGGAGCCACTGGTAACATCTCTCTCCAGCACCAGACAGGAAGCAGTGAACTGGTAGTTAGTCAGTATACACTGTATCTTTATGGATGATATTGATCAGTATACACTGTATCTTTATGGATGATATTGATCAGTATACACTGTATCTTTATGGATGATATTGATCAGTATACACTGTATCTTTATGGACATATTGATCAGTATACACTGTATCTTAGGACGATATTGACGCCTGTATTGACAGTCAGACTGTGGACATGAGGCCTTTAGCTCGTGTTTCTAGAGTTACGTGTTGTTACGAACACGTTAGGAATTGTTAAAATGTGATATTTCTTAAAGGGAGTTTGGTGCAGGGAGCTTTTAGTTGGATTCAAACTGCTGATATGGATCATTGTTAACGTTTAGTCTCCACTACAGAAACACTAGCTGATCAGGTTGTCTGACGTTGACTGCTGTTAGTTATTAGTTTGATTTATGCTTTAATAATGTGAGTATTGATTACTGACTAGGCTAATTATCAGCTTATTTTACTTCTAACAGCAGAAAGCTGTAAATGGTTGCTCTTTTTCTGTGTTTTTAAACTACTTTCCTAATTAAACATGGTGAGGTTGTTATTAATGGTGTTATTAATGACTGCTAATGAACGACAACTTCAAGGCTCCTTATTACACTAAAGTGTGTGTGAGTGTGACCAAACTTTCAGTTAACTTGTTTAACAAGAAACAACTGCTCTGCACGCACAAATGTTCTTTCTTTTTTTCTTAACTTTAAAACAAAAGTTTGATTTGAGTATTGATCCGAATATAAGACAGGTTCCCAGATCGGATGCTCCACAGTGAGCAAACACAAAGGCCTGACGTGCAATACACTGAAACCAGCACAAAAATCTTTGAGGACCAAAGACCTGCATGAAACACATTTCCTCTGCAGAGTTTTATCAGAACATACGAGTGATGGAGTCACCGAAAAGGTCATGGTTCTCACTATCTCCTTGAAACTGGTAAACATCACAGATTGAACAATGTTTTCTTTCAGAGAAAGAAAGAATGCTCAGAAATGATGAAGAATTGTAAGGAGAAAAAGAGTTGTGCATCTCTCTTTCTTTCTAGTGTTGACTGGAGTATATGTATGTGTAAATGGATGCATTTATATACCGCTACCTATAACTTTAACGTACAAAACGCTTTACAATTTGACTTTCATTCATGCTCACTGAGGGCAACAGAGCTGCGACGCAAGGTGCTGGCCTGCCCAGTTTAGCGTCTTCCTCAAGGACACGGCGTCACAGCCACCCTGATATATAGTTGTCACATTATTATCTTTGATAACGAGAGATTATGTTAAATTGAGTCTAAAAAGTGCATTAAAACCATGCTGTTCCACTCTGTCTGACGGTAACACATACTGTATATTCTCTGTCATCTTGTTCCAGCTCCCCATCGAAGCTTGATGCTATATTACACTTCTTATAAATATTCAAACCCAAGAATCCATATTTTATGCTAGCAGTACTGCACCAGATGCACATTTTCTAGTCTGATGCATCATTTTAGACTCATTCCCTAAAACCCAGCCTGATATATTTGATTAAACTGGTCTGGTTTTCATTAAGATATCATATACGAGTGATCTCTTTCTTAGTACATCAGGCTCCATGCAGCCAGTGTAGCAAGAAAGGGGGTGTTAAGTTTTGCATATGGCAGTCATATTTGAGGTCTCCGGGTCAATGCGGTAACAGCTGATTGTGTTTTTAACAATGTGTTCAACATGGTGTTTCTCAGTGCTGGTGTTTGTGTATTTGTCCTTGAGAAAAACAGATTCTTACACGATAAAAGCAAGTAGAAGGAGTGAGAGTGATTTCTGTTCCTTTCTGTCCGTCTCTACTCCAATCACATATCATCCCTGTGTGGGTAGTTAGCACCAAGGTCTTCCTCGCGTAGGAGGCTATATCATGGCTTTTCAGACTTATTTCAGGTTTTTTTGGAAGTGAAGAGCAACAAAAGCAGAAAAAAACAGTGATTTGTCTGCAGGCAACAGATATCACATCAGCTCCACTCTTCAGCTTTTTTTTTTTAAATATGGGAATTATTTATTATTATCTTTATTAGTGGCACAGGAGTAACCATTCAGAGCTTAATAAAGCTTTTTGAAGTAAAAGATCCATCCTGATTTGGATTTTTTGCTCACAGAGGTGCACAGGCGGAGCTGCGGAGGGGGAAGTGCACACTAGAACAAACAGCTATTAATGAAAATCCTCCTTCACTTACTGGTGTTGATCTCGGCCAGGAATGACATAAGAACATGTCCGAGCTGGACCGAAAAGTCAGGACCCTCGGGAGGGTTCAGACATCAGACATGTGGTAATAGATGATAAGGTAAAGGTTGTTCCTGCTGGGAAATCAGGTTGGGTCGGCAGCTTGAAGTCAGCGGGAATCGACATGGAAGAACGAACCGATGGAGTCAGTAAACAGAGTAATGGCTAAAACATTAATGAGTAAAGACAGAATATTAAGATTAATGGAAAGCAATGATTTCCTACTATCTTAAGACAAATGCAGAAAAATGTCCAAAGGGGAAATAATCGGTGCTGCGGGCAATTATTGAACTCTCAGTGGTAAAATATGCAGTAAAACACAAAAACAAGGGAATATCTTACATAAAATATACTGTCCAAACACATGTGTAGCATCGATGCAATAATATATATATAATGTGTATTAAATAGCAGCCGCTTTGAGGGAAATGTAATGCCAACAGAATTATGTTTCCCATTACATAATAAGGAAATGTATGAGTAAAATGTTCACTGACAACGTTTTTCATTAGTTTCCAGCCATCGAAGTGACTGCAGCATTATTTAAAAGTCAGCAGTGACTTGAGACTTAAGATATTTTATTAACATTTAACTGGGAGGTAACTGCAGGGTTCTCTTTCATGTGAGAATTTGCTGCTTTTATCTGTTTTATAATCTTAAACTCAATATTTTATGGGTTTTATTTTATTATTAATATATATTAATGTAAAAAGAAGCTTTTTACGTTAAGCTCTGATCAAATGGTTAAAAAAAAGTCTTATTTTCAACTCCTTCACTCTTATTTATTCGGTCTGAACACCATTCTGGAGTATCTCCACCCACTTTAACCCTGCATTTAACTGAAATCTCAATCTTTCCCTGAATTCAACCAAGGTGCTTTTGCTGCTGGAGTCTGGACACAAACACTGGACTGTGGTGTGACAGTCACTGCACCTTGTCCCCCCGGCATCCCCCTCAACCACCGCCTTTCAATTCCAGCTTGTTAACAGACATTTAGTGGTTCAAATAGTGTCTGTGAACATACTCCAGGCAGGTATTATTAAAAATAAATCAGTAATATCCAGACTAGGAGACAGGGGTTGTAAAGTGCGTTGTTTGAGAAGGTAAATGAGCAGTGAAACTTCCCCTGAATGAAGCTTTTGGTCCGTCTCCAACCCACGAATCCTCCTGTGCTGCAGCTTGTTGACATGATTTGCACATCCTAATCACCAGATGTGGATTTCAGAGCATGTTTCAGGCTCAAGCTGCCAAGTGGCTGAGTGTGGACCCTCCATCAGCCCACGATACTGAGTGACCACTGGATGGTCCCATCAGCCACTTAGCCAGCTCTGTAACCTAGCAACGTCATTCAGTCTGTATAATTGAGTGTTATTACAAAGCATTTGGAGGGCTGACAAATGACAGTTTGAAATGTGTCCACAGCCTCGAATTCTCATTTAAACCAAAAACCGAAGGCACTCAAGTGACCATTCTCTGGCCTTCAATAGGAGCGAGAGCACGTGGTCGAGTGCGGAGCGTCCAAATGGATGATTTCAGATTGAACCGTGGGGGGGTGACCTAATTGTTTTCCCACGGCTGGGAGAGAGTTGTGCTCACAGCAGGCCGAGCAAAATGACCTCTGTTAACTTTAGTGCAGAGGAAGTTTTACATATTTCCACCCATGAGTGTGTTTTATGCCCCCTTTCATCATATTGCACAAACTGTAATTGCAAGTCTTTTTAAAAAGCTACATTTTTATGTCCTCGTTTCCTCAAATTGCCCCCAAAATTATATTTTAGTTTTTAAAGAGCGGCCATCGTACATAAAGGAGGAAATAGTTAGCCACAAAGCGTCAGACACGAGCAATCTCTGAACCACAGACAGTGTATGTAATGGGGAGGCTCTTTGTAAAACAACCGTTGAGATTAAATCTCTTTTTCAAAATGGTGAAGGCAGCAAAGTTTCACATCTGTTGCATGCCAATATCCCCCACACATCAACCACAGGGGTTAACTGAGCACAGAAATTCATTCTTTTTGCATTGCAGCGAGAGAAACTTTAGTTGCCTTTTGTTTTAAACCCGTTAGAGAGACAAGGGAGGCTGATGGTCATACCGTAACGAAATCAACTCCTTTTTCCAGATTCAGAACAGGTGGCACCGTAAAGCCAATTGTTGGATCTAACATTGTAGGTATTATGTACAAGAGATGTCTGTTTGAGGGTGATTCATCAGTAATTCACTTTAATAAAGATACTGGCATCCGTGCTATTCTTGTCAGAGAGCTCCTCTGAAAGCCGCTCACCTGCTGTTGTGAAAACGCACTTGCAGGTGAACAAAATTGTGTTTTTCAGGCAACTTAGATAACATACTGCTGATGAAAGTCAACAGAGCAGAGGAGCTAGGGCAATCTGGTGTGTGTGGGAGACCAGAGTCGAGTGAATTGAGTAAATAAGAATTTGGTCATTTAATTTGGAGGACTTGCACAGCCTCTATTG